AGGGAGGTATAACTAGATAATCTGGTTTTATAAACTGAGTTGATATTGTAAATTGGCCGCCGTAAAGAGTTTCAAAGCTGACGTTTCGAGCGTTAGCCCTTCGTGAGAACGAATGTAGCGAATTTGAATGTTTTTGAAGTTCGATTTTCACATAAGCAAGTCAGGTTACTACAAATGTGCTAGCCCTGAAAAGACCATTTGAAGGCTTTGGTGAAGGTTGCGTTGAATACATACTTCTGCCCTTGTCTAGCCCAAATCTCTGCTGTGGTTAAAAATAACTCGTTGCATTTACAATTTATTTGAACCGTAACTTTTTTCGTTTTTGTTTTGTTTAGTTTTGTTTTTTGTTCTTTGTTCTTCGAGAATGGAATTACATAACTTCTCAGTCGTTTCTAGACAAGTTAGGGTATTTTCTTCGATATGGAGCGTCACCATAGCAACAGATTCGATTACCATTACTCGTCATTTAATTGCAATCGGGATATCCGAACATCTATCTTTTTGCTAGGTAATTAACAAAGCTGTAGAGTAAGATAACGGTCAACTTAAATTAGCTGTCATCAAACTAAGCATAACATTTTTCAAACCATGTAAATAGATGAATCGTGATATGCTCGTTGCAGTAAGATGATAAAAACGGGGGATCAACGCGCTTGTTTTGAGTTGCAGACAGACAGGAGTAAAGAAAAGGTTTTCATTTGAACGGGTTCTAGTGTTGTTGTTTTCATATTTTAAGTCAGTAAAATTGGTCATAACTTGTTAAATGAATACAACACTTTTGTCTGATACCGCTTTAAGTGATTTTAAGGAAAGAGACGAAAAGTGCGAAAGAATCGAAACTAGCACGTCTTTGAGACAACTGAAATAGTGTAAGAATTTCAGGTTCCAGAAGTGAAGTGAACACCTTGACGGAAGAGCTGGGTGAAAGATTACAGATCACCACAGGTTTTCCTGAACCAGACGATCGATGAGTTAAGAGTTTTCTTTCATTATTTTTCATTACTATCTCTTGTAAAATATCTACGTTGGTTTTATAACTATCGGACAACATGTTCTGTATCAAAAGAAAATATAGCACCTATATCTGGGGAGAATGCGTAGTGCTACCACGCGTGGAGCACGCGTGGAACACGAGTGGGCTCATATTAGGATTGTAAACATTTGTCATCAAAGAAGCGTGATCTTTCTATGTGCTAGTAACAAATGGCCCATGGTTTACAAAAGGCTTGATGTTATTTAGAACGAGCAAATAAAAAAATACAATAAAACAAAACCCTCTAAGGAGACTAAAATGATCGAGTTTGTTATTACATTTTTGGGAGTTTTTTGTTACAGATAATTTAAATGATACACTTAGCACTGCTAACGCCTTTCCTTTTGTCTTCCAGTTATGAGGTGCTCGCCTGTTTATAAATCTGTGCAAACATAAAAAAACGGAAGCTTAGTCATAGCGAGCGGTGTAAGAAATTGATTAATATGTTAACAGCGGCGTGAGAGAGAGACGAAAAGTTAATTCAACTTTAAGTTGTTCTTACCCAGTAAAATGAACAGAGCCAGACATTTGGAAAAATCCAAATATTTTCTAATGTGCGTATTTTTATTATCAAAATGATCTAAGAGTCATTTTTGTTAAAAAACAAAACAAAACAAAACAAAAAAAAAACTGGAACAGCCGTCATGGAAAAGCCACTCTGGCCTGGGTTTTTGCGAGACTGCACTAAACAATGACAGAAAAATCTGCTCCGATTCGTATCAACCTGGAGCTACTTAGTCTTTTTTAATCCACAACTTCCAAGATCTGCTCGTTAATTCTCACCTCTAGCTGCTTGTAAATTGGCTAGGAGAATTTGGTGTTCCATCAAGGTAACACTGAACTTCCACTTGATAAATTTGAGTATTCTCACTATCTGTTTGCTGGATAATGTATGGACATTGTAGAGAGAAGTTACGTGTTTATCACTCCTGGGAGTTAAAGCTGTGGGGTTAATCACTGCAATCGAAATCTGATAAGCGCGCATGGCTTTGATAAGAAACCGTACGCGTCTGATATGATCAATTTTTCCTTCAAAAATTCAGGCTTTCTGGATGGGGCTTGAGGAGGACATTCATTAGTATTTGTAGATGATTTTTCCCTCTGACTTAAAGCCTTTGAGAAAACATTGATTTGTTACTTGTGTGAAGGGAAGTGGATTGCAATTGTTTCAAAAGAATATTTCGCCCCAACCTCTTCATAAATTCTCTGAATCTCTTAGCGGTCAAAACTGAACTCACACTGAATCTCGGCTAGAGAGCAAATTCTTTTAGCAAGGGCCGGCCGTTGGGCAGAGATTGAAAATTGTAATAACAGCTCAACGGCTAAGATTCCTCAACAAATATTTTTCGCTCATCTTTTGTAAGGTGCAAGACATCACAAATTGCTAAAAATTAATCATCAAGTATAAAAAAACCAATATCTTTAGCGGTGGGAAGCAAAAACAATAACGAAATTCTTGAAAACAGGCCTCAAGAATTTAATATATTTGCAAGTATTAAATGTCAAGAAGAGGTTATATTAAGTTTTTTGTCTCTTTAGTTAGAACGTTTAACATCTGTGTAAATTCCTTTGTTCTTATTTTTTTATCGACACGACAACTGTACACTTATTTTGTTGCGATTAAAACTTATTTACTGAGCAATGCTGTCCAAATAAAATTTACCAGCAGACTTTTCCTAATAAAACCACAGAGACTTACCTGATAACGGCCTCAACCTATATAAGACGGACTAGATGTCTTGAAATCGCAGTGTCATTGAGTTGCACACATCTTGCAGGCAGCATGAAGGCTTTAACCCTTTTTCTCGTTTTAAGAGCCCTTGCAGCAGTGTTCGCCAATCAACTGGTGTTCAACAAAGCTTTCTATCATCTTTTAGAAGAGGATCATCAAAATAGAATGGCTCAAGCTGTTAGAGACTCTAACTTGCCAGAAAAGACCTTGATCTCTAACGATGCCAACGATCCCACCGAATTCTACGAACCGTGGATGGTGAGTCCATCAATAGTGTTCTGAAAGCCCGAGGACAAAGCAGAAAATCTTAAATGATTTCGGTTCCCAACCTAAATATTGTCCTAGCTGTTCTCATTTTCTTGGGAACTGGAGGTTTCCCCCCATTTTAAGCTCACTTGCTATGAGTCCGCCCACAGATCTAAGAGAATTATGCTTTACTCTGAGCTAAACAACTTAATATTTCGGCTGCATTTTGTTCTCATCTTGATCATATTTCCTTTTTGACTAATATATTCCTAGAAAGCAGACTTGTGTTGCAATTTTCTCAGTGAACCCTCTTATAGCAATAAATAAATAAATAAAATAAATAAATAGTCTTTCTTTCACTGATAAAATACATATCAAGTGTTACATATAAAGTGTAATGGCTAAAATATGTATTAATTACTTACAGCTAAGTTATGCTTAAAACTAAGTCTATAATAAAAGAATTTTTAAAATGCTCAGTATTACAAAGTGGATATATTGGCTTAACTTGCCTAAGCTAGAGTCCAGTCATTTTGCTGAAAAATTACTTCCATAAATTGGTCAAACTGGTTTTTAATTTTCCAAACAATTAAAAAACCTTGAATTTTTTTTTTCAATTTAGTATCGTAACCCAGTAGTTTTAGAATAGTAGAGAATCGACTTCGACTTGCAGGAAAACGTACCTTGCAAGTGAACGTTTTAAGGCTGGGCGAACTTCAAGGGAGGAAACTTGTATTTGGGGAAATATACTATTTCCTCCGTCAGTTAAACTCCCATTTAAAATAACACAAAAATCATGGCGAAATCTTATCCTAGTAATTTTTAGATCCTAGATTTATTGAGGAAAGAATGTCCAGTCCCAGGTTTCATTTTATAAATCACTGTGAAAAACTCCTCTTAGTAATTGCTTCTGGTAAAAACATTATAATTTATATTTTGCTAGCCCTTTACTTCTCTATAGCGCCAGCTTTGCAGAACTATTATTGTAATAAACAACATAACACAATTTAATGTACAAATACCTGTTAAAATGCTGTCAATCTCAAGTCCTTTACTGTTTCGTTACAGAAACCTTGCGTCTTTCGAGGAAAGATATGTATCTTCAAGGCGAAGCAAGATGCCTGTCAAAAGCTTTGTTGCGGTGACCAGTTCTTTGAGTGCATTAGATATCATAAACCCGAAAACCACCCAGGATTCCTCGTGCGTATGAGTCCATTGAAGGTAAGAACTTGATCTACTAAATGAGACTGAAATGAATTATCATGATAAAAGCTAAGAAATAAAATTGCTTTTCAAGAAAATAAACCTCGAGGGACAGACAGATAAGCAGTTTGTTACTCAACCGATCGGAAGTTCCTTTCCTCTTGCAGAAAGGCTGTGTGGCGCTGCTCGGTTTGTGTAGGGCTTTGAGTCCATCCTGTGCAGGAAAGTTATGTTGCTTCCTTCGCTTCAGACAGTGCTATGAGTTTGTCAGCAAATTCGAAAATTAGCCTCAAGACAAGTTACAATGCTACAATGGCAACGGATAGCAAGATATCGATCCAGATGATGTGCAATCAGGCTCAAGTTTTTCCTTAATAATTCATTATTATCTTGATGTAACATGCAGGCAATTAGAGAACTAGTCAATAAAAGAGAGAACAACATGAGTTATCTGTTTCTTCAATAACGTGTCAGAGTCCAGCAATTTGAGACCATGACCAACCATAGGAAATCCTCACTGGGTCCTCACTGACAGTGTTGACAAAAAGACGAAAAGGGAATAAAGGATTTCTTTTTAAGCCACTGCAACAGTTTATAGCGTTTATTGCCTCTCGCGATCAGTACTGGAAAACAATTTAAAAGTATTTACCCGGAAACATATAACTTACTGGTTATAATCAATAATATCTTTGGACTCTTTACACTTGGCATTTTTTTCAAATGTTATGGCCGTTGATGTAAAACGAGAGAATGTTACAGTAGGAAATTTAGCTTAACCCACAAAAAATCCCAACTGGCAAAACAGTCTCTGTGGTTTGAGTGAAATTGGCAAAAACTACCCTTTCCAACCTTTTTCACCTTCCTTTTGGAGAGTGGGGAGCGGTTGTACAAAGGTTTTAACTTACACTCATGGTTCATCTTTGCGTTTTGTTTTTAATGCGCTACAAAATAAACTTGACTACTTGCTGAAAATGGTGAAAATTATATCTTAATCGAATTAATAGGTATTAGATATTTCTTTCGTCATTTCGTAAGTCCAAAAACCCTCAACCTATATAAAAAGGAATCATAGCGACCGTCTAAGGGAATCATTTGTGAAAGTCGCAAAAAAAAAAATACCAACTGAAATTACAAGTCAACAATTAACGGCCAAAGTTCATGATCCACACACGTGCTTGCAGAGTGATTCGTGGCGTGATGAAGACTTTAGGGTGGCTAATTATAGATGCAGATGTTATTATGGCTCGGAGCCAATTGGTGTGTGAATATATATATCTTATTAGACGTTTTGTTGTGTAGTATCGCTGATTATTTTCACGAGTTGTGCCGTCTTTTGACGAGCCTGTAGGGCGAGTCAAAATAC